ACAACTGAAATCCTCTTAAAATCATTTCTATGTTAACAATGGTTTATCGGTGCTCACAGGCATACATTCAATTTCCCTTCTACTACCTTTCCAACTTCTCTCCTACAATAGAAGTTCACCCACACACTAAGTTGTCGTGTTTTTTAAATTGTTCATTTCCCTCAAATCAAATCTATTCTCTGCAATTGTTATTCACATAATGGTAAACTCAATGAAAATAAAACCTATACAATAAAAGTCAAATTCAATATAATGTAAATTGTAATTTACTTATGATTTTTTAACAGTTACTATATTTAACAAAATAAAGATAAAAATTGCCTAATACTTTTATAACTTAAAGTGCCACACGAATTTCTAAATCAATTAAAAGTAAAATAAAATCATGGCAACCTATAATGGAAAACCTAACCGACCAATCATACCTGCATAGCTGATAAAAAAAAACTACTTTGAGATAATATAAAGCCGAAAAGATGGTGGAAAACCCATGTCCGGTGGATCACAGAATTCTAATTTGGTTTGGTGTAACTGATGGGATTTTTTAGTTATCTTTTGATTTTAATTTTCGGGAAAAGGGCATCGGTCCCCATAATAATAATTATTAAACAAAAATAATTACTCACGTAATATCAATCAATGTACTATTATGTATTAGGTAGAGCATCTTAACATTTAAAATATTAACAATTTGGAATAAAAATAAATTTATAATTTCACCATATATGCATGTTATCATTATATGAATATGGTGTTTCTATATTATAATAATTAAATCTTAATCGAATATATAGCAAACATTTTTTTCACACAACACAAAAATTATAAATGAAAGTGCATCAAATCCCACAACTAAATTTATTTTTAAACGTTTTTCTATGTTTAAATTATTTTGTTCTATAGTTTTAAACGTGAATAATTTGTCGATTTATTTTTTATTTTCTTTATTAAATTCGAAAGTTAATTTTCCATTACTTTCCGTGGTTTAAATGGAGGATCAGTGGGGTTCGGATTCCCTCATATTATTTAACGTTACATGATCTGTCCCCTTTCTTTATTTAAATTGTTGAAGTCCGGGGGACGCTTTTATCAATGTCACTTAAATGTTTTTCTTTTTTTTTTTTCAAATAAAACAATTAAAAACTATAGCTTCATTAAGAATAAATTTTTTAATATCTGCTTAAATAAAATCTGACTGATAAAATTTTTTTTTGCTGAGCAAGCTTAATAATTATATACGTGTAATACAATTTCTGTTGAAAGAAATTTATTTTTAAACACCATTAGTATACAATTTGTATCAACAAATGTGTGTCAAAGAAAACAAATTTTTGTAATTTTACCTCCATCTGAATTTCTATAAATCCATTGGGTTTAGTTAGTATTTAGGTACAGCCCTAAAATTTTGATAAATAAGTATATATCTCCTACCTTTTCATTCCCCCCATGAAATTTTTTCCACTTTAACCACTGATTACCAGTAAGTACGTACCGATACAAGAACAATTTAGCTTGCAAAATTTGCATAACAAAATTATCGGTATTCAAACAGCATTGTTTAATGACACTTGCTTATAATATGTTTACTGACAATATGAATATATTATAAATAATAATATTCAACAATGAAGTTCAAATGAAATATTTTAATCACTGTATCTAAAATTTCAACGAAATACAATTCATAGTATTAAAATATATAGATCATAGACGTGACATTATTATTTTCTAATAATTATTATTCTCAGACTCGCTGGCAATCTGACAAGTGATTTTAAAAATTATTTGCAACTTTTTATAACGGTTCACAAAAATAAAAGAAGACATTTTGAATCAGGACCAAATCTGTAATTATAATTTTAATATTATTATATATTGCAATACATTATTGTATATTACTATTATAGTATATTATCAAAATAATTCTAAATGTATTCAACGAGTATTATGTGTTAAATTCTGAGAAACATATTATTATACGTTAGAAATTAATATAAGCTTTAAATTTTAACTGCATATTTTCTTAAAAATTAAATATAATAAATAACAAAAAAACTCGTACTTATATTAATTTATATTATATATTAATCATTTGATGGATAGATAGAATTATAAGGTTTATTATTATTTCATAATAATTACAATTAAGTATTTATGGTAGATAGTTTGATAAAATAATTTAAACAGTCTATTTGCAATTATTATGTTCAAGAGACTACTTAAACAGTTGATTTAGTGCTATGTATCCCTGAAGTTATACTAAGTATAATGACAACAGGATTGATCTGGATTGCTACTTTATCAGACCATAGAAAACCCAATGTTGCTACAATAATACACTAAAACATGAAACGGAAATGTAATTTATTAGTTAAGGATTGGAAAACTGTATTACATGATATATAATAAGACATGAAATTGTACATATACATATATATACGATCCACCACAATTTTTTAAGTACATACAGAATAACTTACTAACAAAGGATGTTAAATTCACATTAAATAATACAGAGTATACAGCATCATGGAAATTCATACAAAATGTATATTTTGCTAACAAAAGTAATGAAGATATGGGTTATATGGAATTACTTAAGTTAACTAAACAGCATGTTGTCATAGGTATAATAAAAAAAAATGGTGATACTGCAGCTCAAACACTAAGTCACCATGTTGCTTGGTAAAAATATTAATTCTACAAGTCACAATTTTATGTGACATTTAATGTGAAAACTTGAATTTTGAAAAGATACATCATATATGATATCAAGTTATATATGAGTGATATGACTGTAGGTTATATATACAAGTAGTTTTATTTCTAAACAAAAATTTGTACAGCTTTGGATTAATGCTGTATTTTCCTTAATGAATTAAACTCACAAGTCCAATCAAATGAATTTATTAAGGTTAGACAATATTCAAAAAAAAAATATTACTTTATCAACCATCTTCCATATTGCAAAATTAAATTAAAAGAATTTTAAAACTATGAGTATTAATTCAGTCTGAAAATAATTTAATATAAACAATTATGTTGAAAAACTATTTTTATTGATTATTGAATCAAACATTGATTTTGAATTTGATAACTATGTAGTATAAGTTCTACAATTGATTTCATATTAAAAATTCATCATCAAGTATATCACAGTGAAAATGTAAAAGGTGACTGAATATAAAAAATTAAATGAAGGAATACATGGAAAAAAAATTATACAAATTGGTCGTTTTACATAGAAATAATTTATTTTAATAGGAAAGATTATTTAAAATGGGTTATTATTAGATATAGATATGTTAAAAAATATAAATTATTTGGTTATTATTTACTATCTAAAATATATTGATATAAGACATTATTTTTAAAATCGGTTTGTACATTTAAAATATTAAAATTATTTTTCTTTATTTCATTATGTATATGTAGTTCTTCTGAATCTGAATTAATGTAAATATCAACTTGGGTATAAGACTGCCCCAAATTCAAAATTTGCTAAACATGTTTTAAAAAATGACCATAATATAAGTTTTGAAATGAATACAAACTGAGAAATATTAAATACCTACAATAGCATTTACATTAATTCAGATTTAGAAGAATTACATATACATAATGAAATAAAGAAAAATAATTTTAATATTTTAAATGTACACACCGATTTTAAAAATAATGTCTTATATCAATATATTTTAGATAGTAAATAATAACCAAATAGTTTATATTTTTAACATATCTATATCTAATAATAACCCATTTTAAATAATCTCTTCTATTAAAATAAATTATTTCTTTGTAAAACGACCAATTTGTATAACTTTTCTCCATGTATTACTTCATTTAATTTTTATATTTAATTGTCTTTAACATTTTGACTGTGATATACATGATGATGAAATTTTAATTCGAAATCAGTAGTATAACTTATAGTACACAGTTATCAAATCACCATATAAGTGTTATAATACTCCAGGTGACGCATTCATTAATTTTATTTTTATTTTCTATATTTTAATTTTTTATTTATATATTTATTTACTATATTAAATAAACACTTTAAAAAAATGTAATATAATTATTTTAAAATGTAATAAATCATGCATAAATTATAAATAATAGTTAATCAATTTTAATTATAATAAATTACCAAATATACATATTAATAATATTCAAATTTTATTTAAATCCAGAGACATGAATTTTTTTTAACTTGTTTAAAATCAATATAATCATGAATACATATTTTAAAACTGATGTGAATACAATAATACAATATTATATTTTTTATTTATATAAATATAGGTCTTATGGTAAATATATTTTAACAAAAATGAGTTTAAAAAATGTATGGTCCTGAAAAAAATGTATTATATGGTTATAATAACAATTTTGAAAAATATTTAATGAAACATCAGACTGTTGAAACTTTTTACTGTATATGTAATCATATGAACAAGTATCAAAAGTAGGAGAAGGTATTTTTTGGATAGTTTGGCATTTAAAGCAATGTTTCAACCCAACAATAGATCACGGCTAAGTAGGGATCGAAACACAAAAATCATTTAATTAGACATATATAAAAAAAATTAAAATTAAAGATAAATATATAATTTTCATGTTTGTAATGTTAATTAATAAATGATAAGAGAGTTTACATGTCTGTAGTGGTCTAAATTTATTTCATAATTTTAAAGGTGTCATAGTCGGCACAGGTTTCAGGAATGTATTCACCATAAGCAGATAGATCATTAACTGAAGGTTTGATCAAATACGTATTACGCATGGACTTCTCGAACTCTGTGGCGTAATAGTGGCTGGTAATTTTGATCTTCAAATCAGAAATTGATATGGGTGGAGTCAATATTGTGCGTATAATTGGCATGATGTGGCAAAATCGTTTTTTGTTGTTGATAATACTTGTGAGGTTGCCATGGAAATCATGTATGACACGAACCTCGGGTTCTAAGCACATAAGGCAAGAGTCTTGAATGTAGTCGACGAATTCGATCGTTGTGTTCAATTCAAAGAAATGTTTGCCATTGTTGTCCAGAAGAGAGGACAGTAGCATTTCACTCTCAGCGTCTACGTGAGAAATATAATATTCGTACAGCTGAGTATCGCCTTTAATCTCAAAGTTAAGTTTCAATGTACTTTTTTCACAATAGAATCTGGACAACAATGCGATGCCGACAACCCCAGCAACAAATATGAATACGATGTAGATGACGTCACGTATAGCCTGACGGCGTGATTTTATCTGGTTAATATGTTCAGCAAATTTGATTGCACATTGTCCACACTCTTTGATGGTCTCCGACGGAATCTTGACAACGGTCATGGTTTATAATCGTATAAAGAAAAAGTTCGATGAAAAATACAACACCGTGTTGAGCGGTGACGGTGAAGACAAAGAAAACAGCAATAATAACGGCAGCGTTGGGCAAAGCAACGAAAACGACAGTGCGGTATAGAGAGTAAAGACTGTGTACTGTATCACGGTACGGGGATGAGCTGTTAAAGTGTCAACTCGTGTACCCCAAAATTATTGACTTCCAGGTAGATAAAAGTAGTGCCAACCATGGGCGTGATCTCAGGGATAGTATATAATCGTTGGCGAAAACGTGTCGACATAAACCTATCGGTCCGAGAGTTTAAACGTAGGTTAAACGGAAAAGACCGTAAAACAATTGACTATCCGTGGTTTAAACCGAATTTAACTCACTGATTGTTAAACTACCGATTTCGGTGAGTTAAGAGGAATCCTCAACTCGCCGCATTGTTTCGTTTCGTGTGTTTTGAACACGACACGTTCCGTTTATGATAGCACGAAATAGTTTGTACCAGTCGTTTTACCAACAACCGTCATTATCACTCACTATCACTATTAATTTACCATTCACCAAAAATGCGCGGTAATTATTATCACACATTTTTCTTAAAATATAATATCATTATTATATTTTATTATTTGTGAATAGGTATTTATTATTATTTTGCCATTAATATTCCACCGTCTCTACACATTCTTCAGGTTTTTTTATTATTCATACTATTTTCGGTCAAAAAAGGCGATGTCATTGAATTATTACCTATATAGTATCCACTTTATTAATATAGTTTACTTGTATTATACTATTAACAGTAAAAACACCAATATTATATTATTTAATTTTAGTAATATATTGAACTATTTTCAATAGTTACGTTCTACTAGTAGGTATTGATAATAAAATCAATGGTAAATCCTATATTAAAATTACTTGGTATCGTACTTACTAGTACTAATTTGTGATTTCATATCATAAAAAAGTACATTCTAAAGTGTTTAATACAACAAACTTTTTGCATTAAGTGCATATCTGTCCCTAAACAATTGTACATTTTACGATTACATATTAAGTTATTATTTACCTTCATAAAGTTCATATTGAACTTAATCTAGTATTAAAATTGAGTATCAATTCACATTTAGTTTTTATTTTAAATTGAATTATTAAAAAATGAAAACAAGAAAATGACGTTACCAGCTATAACCAGCCCGTCCAAAAGTTGAATTTATTAAACTCTGCGGTATCCACGGTAACGTCTTGGTAGACACGATCAAAATGTATCTACCAAGATAATATAAGTCAATTAGAAAAGAGTATTTCACACGACACGGTGAGTTGAGGACTCCCCTTTAAAGGTTCCTTGAAACGTGATATGTGAAATATTCTAGGACTGTGATTGGATGAACTATGTAGTTATTATGTAATGGTTAACTAGTGGTCACTCATCATTTTTGATTTTTATACCTTCTCTATAACGCTTATACCAGATAGTTGAGTTCAATCCTAGTCAGATCGTGTGATCACACGGTTTAATGATAATGGTTCAACTATTTTAAATTGTACCAATCATAGTGAACAAATTGTAAATGATCAAGTTTCACAATGAGTTGTGTAGGTATTAGGGGGTAGTAACGCTACTGGCGCAAATAAAGTATTAAAAATAGTTCATCCATCAAAATCTAGAATCGCTAGTGTCACTGATTGTGTTATCTGTGGTACTACAGCACAACCTAAAAAAAAAATAAAAATTGACTGGTCTATGAATCTCTGATTGAATGTGTAATATTGTTATATTGTATTGTTCTTTGCTATTTGCATTTCACATTAATTGTCCGTTTTTCAGTTAAGTTTAGTTTTCACTTTGCACTTTTCTGCATTCAATAGTTCAAAACATGGATAAAGAAGCATACAAATGATGTGTGAAAGACTGCTCATATAAAGGTAATTTTATATGTATATTATTATTATAACTATTACTTATCAGTGGCTTTTTGTGTTAAAAATTGTTAGCAAAGTGCTTACAAATATGGGAAGCATAATGTACTTCTGATTTCGTCACACCTATGTAGGTTTTCTGTTTATCAATATCTTACAGTGTGTAACATACGGTCAGTAGAACTTATTTGGTTATGTTACTTGTTAGCTGTGTTTAAGCACTTTTTAGACAAATTATTTCTACAATATCATAATAGGTATTATTTTCTATTGATATAGTTAGCTAAAAAGAAAATTTGATTTTCAAAACCTGGTGGAATGTCACACTGTTTTCCAAATTCAAAAATATATTTGAATGTGATGAATCAATGGATTTAAATACTAGATAAAGACCAATTTTCGGTTTAGATTCATCAACTATGTATTTTAAAAAAGAGTTTACTACAATCATTTTAATAAAAATCCAAAATTTTGAAGAAATGTGCAGTTCCAGTTCTAAATCTTGGAAAGACAATTATTGGTAATTACTTTTTATTGTACCTACATATTATACATAATATTTTTTTTAATATGTGTCTATAAATTCACATGTTTCTAGTAAATATATATCAAAATTAAATTACCTATAATTAATTTTTGAAATTTGAATTATCTATATATTAAATGTTTAACTGTAGATGTAGATAGCTCTGGTTCTGTGTCATATTCTGATTTAATGCAGCCAGACTTAGAAATACTGAATAATGCAAATAATGACTCAGGTAATTTGTTGTTTATTGTGATTTTTTTATAATTTCATAATTTATACCTTTTGCTTAATCTTTCTAGATCAAAATGCCGATCATAGTGATTCTTTAGCAACCATAAGCAACAAAATCGGTCTGGTTCTATGGCATGTTGTAACTTAGACTGTTAGGTTTTGAACAGCTGATCAATGAAAGTTTTGGTAATTGGATATTTTAAATGAAACTTTTAAGTTGTTTATATATGTAATTCGTGACTTCTAGATGATGGTATTGATAAATATAAGGTTTAAATCCCTGATCATTCAATTCCAAACCAAAACCATGACCACAATATAATGAGTAAGAAAAATTAATATTTTTATTTATAATATTATTTATTCTTATGTATATTTACTAGTTTACTTAATTATGCGCTACGCTTATATATTTATCACTTAATATCTGCAGATTGTGAAAATGCTTGCAGTTATGGAAGTACTATTAGAATAAAACAAAGAAATGCAAAGAAAATTGGTTAATAAATTTTGGATTCATAAACTAAAAAATAATTTTTTTTTTTTATTTTCCTCAAGACTTATGGTTAATATTTTATTTCCATATAGGTTTGTTATCAACAATTGGTATAAAACGAGCCAACCGATTGATTCCAAAATGTAAATTTCTTTTTTCAGACACTGTATGATTAAATAAAGAACTTCGTTATTCCAGAATACAACGCGATACGTTTAAAAAACGATTAGCTGCTGCATCAGATTTTTCTGGAAAAATTTAATTCAAAACTATCATCTCAAATGACCGCAGCAGCTTCCATCTTCACCAAACTATAGTTATGAGAAACCAATACTAAAGCTAGAGGATGATGATTCACATTGGAAAAAAAATTATTAAGTTTATTTCTTTACAAACAAAGTGCCAAATGTTATAGAATATTATCAAAAAATGTTTAATTTACTGAGGCAAAAGTCATTAACGAATTTACTATCTAGAATAACAATTAGTACTGGTGTCGATAAATCTCTAATTAAGGTTTTGCAACAAAACATTTGTAAATTGAATGAGAAACATAAGATATGTGTACTTTTATTCGATGAAATGAGTTTCAAACCACATTTATAGTACAATGATAATACAGGATTCATAAGTGGCTTTGAAAATAATGGTATTTTTAGGGCACAACAATTTGCAGACCATACCCTAGTCTTCATGATCAAAGGAGTAATAAAAAAATACAAGCAGCCAATATCTTTTACACTTTGTAAAAGCACTACTAGTCGTCAGGATATGCTAAATCAAATTAAAAAGGTATTACAGGTTATTCATTCAACTGGTTATAGAGTAATTGCCACCATATGTGACAAAGGAGCAACTAACAGTGCTGCAATTAACGAAAGTAATTAATTAATGGAAGTTGAAGACTCTCCTTTAAAGGTTTCTTGAAACGTGAAATGTGAAATATTCTAGGACTGTGATTGCATGAACTATGTGGTTATTATATAGTGGTTAACCCGTGGTGGTCACTTATCATTTTTAATTTTAATACCTTCCCTATACCGCTTATACCAGATAGTTGAGTAAATAATAAAATTATTATGATTTTCTAGATAAAACTATGGAATCAATAAGGCAGAGAATTGACATTGAGCTAGTATCGAGTAAAAAGAGAGTGAAAAAATTGATAAATATGACGACGTTCAAGCATTATACAACCTACATCTGCGTGCTGTATCACTGGATAACAAAATTATACATTTTTGCAAACCGGTTTATGTAGGGTTATTCTGTGCTGTACATCTTCAAGACTAAGATGTATGACTACCATTACAATGTTATGAGTAAGCATTTCAAAATTTCAATAATGCATAACTGTAAAGTAGGATACAGCCGCTAAAGTAAAGATAACTACGATAGACTTGGTAATACACC